TCCCCACCATCACAGACATCTACACCTCTAGATGCAGGAAGAGGGCCACCTGCATCATGAAGGACCCCACTCACCCAGCACACACACTTTTTGCCCCACTCCCCTCAGGAAGGAGGTTGAGGAGCATTAAGTGTAGAACCACTAGACTGAGGAACAGCTTCTACCCTGAGGCTGTTAGACTCATGAATCTCTAACTAGAATAATCACTGTGAAAAACCACATCATGTTGCTGCTGATCTGTTTCAATGTTGATGTGTTCATGCGTGCACATCTGCTCACACAGACTCATGTTCATGTTTGTGCTGATGTTCAATGTTTTATGTTATGAGTGCTTAGTGTATATTTAGTTGTTTTTCTTAGTTCATATCTTAGATGTTATTACTGTTTTTCTTATACATTTTATTGTCGGATGTAACTGGGACCCTGTGTACATAATTTCACTCCACCACATGTACCACATGAGGTGCGAATGACAATAAAGAAACTCTTGACTCTGATGTTTATTTAAGGTTTCAAAATTTGGTACATTCTTTTTTGATAAAATCTCTAACTTGTAAATATCTAAAAAAGCTTGAGTTGGAAATTTTAAAAGTGGCTTGAAGCTGTGAAAATGAAGCAAAATTTCCCTCTAAATAAATATCATTTAAGCTACGGATACCCTTCTGTTTCCAGTCAGAGAAGACAGTATCAGTTAGGCCTGGTTGAAAAGCATGATGTTCACAGATAGGAGAGTCGGTATACATTCTAGTAGCTTTACCGTAAAGTTTGTTTCCAGAATACCAGAGAAATATTGATTACAAAGCTGTCATTATATAGTGCTTTATTTACTTTAGCGTTAGTGGGTTGTTAAGCAGCTCTAACAAGGAAGTATTCCTGCAAAGCCACCGTTCCATACACAACCAGGACGGGCAGGAGCATGAAGAGGAGGAGAGGGCCACTCTCCACCAGGACAGCACTGATAGATGTGCAGCCCAATAATACATCTTAAAGTCTGGAAGAGCAACCCCCCCACTGGTTTGCATAAATGTTTCTTTGTGATTCTTATAGCTTTATAATTCCATATAAAAGGCACAATGACTGAATCTAATTGCTTAAAATGTGATTGAATATAACAAGGAAGAGATTGGATAAGATGTATGAAATGTGGCAGTGCAATCATTTTAACTGCATACATTTTACTAACTTGAGAAAATGGGAGTGTCTTTAAGTTGTTCAATTTTTTTTATGCCAATTCCTTTGAAGCAGGTCCTTGGGGTCCTTTGTTACAACTATACCAAGATAGGTGAAAAATTCAAATGTTTTTTTAAAGGGTGTGGAATGAATATATGTCAAATTAATTTCCTTAGGTATAGTCATAAGTTCTCTTTTGTCCCATTGTGGCAGGTGTGGGTGCTTCACCTTTCCCACCCACATTTTGATGTTGTCGGTCAGGGGAGTTGAACCGGCAAACTTCTGATCACAGGCCCGCCTTCTCTAACCTCTGCGCCACCACTTTTCCTTATTTTTCAACTACCTTTTTGCTAATTTCAGTTTCGTTTGACCTAGTTTCAGATTTTTTGTAATCTATCCAGCCTTTTTCATCATATTCTGCTGATTTTGGCTACATTTCAGCTCTATTCAGCTTTTTCTACACATATTGGCCATTTTCTGCTGCTTTCAGTAAATGTCAACTGTTGAAATTCAGCTCATAATAACAGTTTAGAGATGAAACGTGTTCAGCAGCTTTCAGCTAATATCATTCAGCAGTAAGCATTCACACTGCACTTTTATAGGAAATGACATCTCTCGTTTCAGTTCAGATCTTCTCAGGTGTTAAGTGTGATCAGTTTGATCTTTCCACATTCACACTGATGGCAACAGCACTTGGACTGTTTTCTGATTGAACATGTTCTGCTGCCCCAGACTTCTCAGGCAGATGAGCAGAGCCTTCAGTCTGAACTGTCACTGGAGACGTGCAGCAGGCAGCCAGATGTCAGCTGCAGCACAGATTACAGAAGAAAATGAGATTGAGGGCAGGCAGAGACTTCTGTCATCGGTGATT